TGTCACGTTACACTTCAATAACTCACAATAGTTTGACTTCTGGCTAAGAGGAGGAGCTGTAAAAGCCACAGTGGCTGAACAGGAACCTTGTGATGTCACCATGTTATTCTTATTACCCTCATACAACCACTCGACTGTGTGTTCACACTTTCCATATGTCAACACAGAGCAGATGAAGCCGACTGTATAACTGATCTGATATTGTTCAACTGGAGAAGATGGAGATATTGTGAGAGAAAGACAACAAGAGTAAAGTTAACTTCATCACTGTGATCATAATTATTGTAATGTTTCAGTATATTGTTCTAACAAGACAGTTTGAGCTGAAAACATTATGATGGAAATACTCACTGTTAATAACAGACAGATAAACCACAGAGTCTTCACCTTGTTGTTGTCCTGATTTCTTGAACTGTCTGCAGGTGTAACGACCAACATCCTCGACTGTGACATTCTTTATAACCAGAGAACAGTTCTCTGTAACACTCAGTCTGTCTGATTTAGCTTCGAAAATCCCATTTTTACTGATCTTCCCATGTGTAATCAGCTCTGTTGCTGCTGCTGCCCCAATATCACGACTGGCCAACCAGGAAGTCCCGTCACAATTATCCTGATTTTGTATCACATTTCCACAAGGCAAAGTGACTTCATCTCCAGCTCTGACAGTGAAGGAGTTGAAGTTCTGTCCAGTTGCTGCTGTTGAAGATGAGAGATAAATGTAAAAAATGAGCTGTGAGAGGAATATGGCTTTTATATTTATATTTATGTGAGAATAACAAACAGTGTACAGTATGTTCCTTTTACAAGAATCCACTCAACACACCAGGTTCAAAACAAACATTAAACTTGGCTATCAAACTTTAAGGTTAGCTTCTTAAATACTAGTAAATTAGTAATGTTTATTTTATTCATGTATGTATTTTGTGAATCCTTACCTGTAAACTGAAGCACGAGTATCACAAATAAAGACACGTTAATCCATCTGAATCGAACCATCTTGCTTCTCTCTCTCTTGTTCTCACGCCCTCAACTGTCTCTGAACTTGTGCGTCTTGAAGAGAGATGCGGCATCTACTTCCCGTTATTAAAGTGTCACTTCCTTATAGTGACTTGCATCTTTTTTCATTCTTTGTTGTTGAGTCCATCAGTTTTTCTCGTTTTCTTTCTTATAAATATTTTAACAGCAAGAAGAGCAACTGATGTCTTCGAGTTTTCAGCAAAACCAATAATGTGGAGGGAACCAGAGGCTCGTGGTCCAAAATCATGAAACTGGCGGAAAACAAATGTGATGTGGTGATGTAGTGGTTTAAGAATTGTTGGTTCCTCTTTGTAGCTTTGTAATGTTTTCTGAGAACTGAATGAGAAGTATTTTTTGTTAATGTGGTTAACAGCAGCAGCTCTGGAAGGTTTATCTTCTAATCAGGCTCTCAGGAACAACCAACCAACACTCTGATGACACATGTTGCTCTCTGGACTCATTAGATTAGAATCAGCTTTATCATTATGCAGAGTACGGGTACACGGCTAATGAAATGTAGTTTGCATCTAACCAGAAGTGCAGAAGTGTTCATACAGATAAGTGCAGGAAGGTAGTACTACAGCATAAGTTATGCTATATCCTAGAATACTCTCTAAGGCCTTTTCAGTGTTTGTTGAGAGACAATGGTGATAATTTAACTTAAATACTGAATAGAGCCTTATAGTTCAGGCAGGTGCCAGTCAGTTTAATATCACGTTACATGCAGCTTCCAGTCACCCATATAAAAAGATTTGGTTGATAAATTGTTTCAGAACTGTTCATTATGATGTAATACTCACTGTAAATAACAGAAAAATGAAAGGAAAAGCTGACTGGCTGCTGAGAAGATGTGAGAGAAACATTAAAAATTTTAAGAAAGTAAAACACTTGACGTCTTGGTTAAATTTAGGTTAAGTAATAAATACTAATAACTCAGCTTTTTTAATGTTTCTGGTAGTTGTCGTGTAAATTGTATCTTGCTGGTGAGGGATTGAGCAAATAATTCAGTAACAACCAACCCTTGTCTTTGAAGAATTTATTAATAAAAGAGAATAAACAGAAGTACTAAAACACATATACAGCCGGTCCAGAGACCTGCCGCCTAGGGCGTCTTCAGGCGTCTGGCCCCGAGCAAAGGGATGCATAATCATTTACTCAGTCTAGGTTTCTATGTTTTGGGGAACAGAGATCCTCTCTCAGCCTTGAATGATCATTCCAGGAGAGGAGATGAACAACAGGAGAGGAAAACACCAAAACAATCTGACAGCTCTGACTTAAACCCTAGTAAATGTGGACGGACTAACATAAGCAGTATAGGAGAGGAAAGGTTAAGGATTAAAAACACAATACATATATATCTATAAGACATAATTATATTAGTAATAACAATAGTAATAATAATAGTAAAAAACATACATAAAAGATTGAATGTAAGAGGACACAATTTTCTGCCACAACAGTTGTCTGATAGATTTTCTATATATTCTTACCTGTTAAATGAAGCATCAGAAATAAAAACACTTTAATCCATCTGAACTCAACCATCATGCCTCTCTGTCTCTCTTTCCTCTCTGCTTCTTCTACTTGTAAATCTACGAGTTGCTCCTTAAAGAAAAAAGTTGTATCTGTTTCCTGTAATTAGTCACTTCCTCATTGTGACTGTCCTTTCTTTTTCCTCTCATATGTCAGTTGTTCCTTTAAATGTAGACAGACCTCCTTCTCTTATGGCTGACATGAGCTGGTATGAAGTTCACACTGACCTGAAGTATCTGGAATTAAAACTGAAAATTTAAACCTTGTGTGTTTGCTTTAATTACTTTCATACCAGAACATAAAAAATAACCTGAACAGAGATATAGATGTTAAAATGACTGCATATCAAACAATAACAGCTGATATAGAAATAACAGTAAAAACTAATACATGTTTAACTACAACACAGCACTAGCACATTAAAGTGCCTGACAGCAAGTTCATCAAGCTAAATGTCCCATATATTATGTTCAGTTACATTTCAAGCAGCCAGATAATGTTGTTATTGTGCTACTAGTTAACCTACTGCACCCCCTTCTGGACTAAAAGGCTTTTTAAAGCAATACATCCTGAAAATGATCATAAAATAAGTCGAATAAAAACATTCATCAGTTATCAATGAACTGTAATGATATGAGCTGTAACTACACTGTGGTCTCTTATTTGTTTGGTTAGTTGACGGTGGTGTAGAGGTCGCTGGGATCAGCTGAGGCTCCGGCAGAAGAAGAGGAAGCTTTCACGGTGCTGTAGGTCACTGCATCATCTTCATCATCACCATCTTTACCCAGAACCTGGAAAAGAGACAAACAGCACAACACAGAAATTACACAACATTAAATGAGAGAAGTGTTTTCATTCACTGCCATCATCACTAGAACCAATCAGACAGCTTACCCGGCCTTTACTGTTGGTCTTCCTGGTGTAGCTGATGGAGGCGTAGGAAACACCATCTTCAGGATCAGCCTACACAGAGAAGACAACATAATGGCTGCTCAGTAACATGTGGACTTGATTGTGTTCTGGTCTGTTCTGGTGTCGTCCAGCTGCATCATCAGACTCCCCACTTCTTCTCTTGCAGAAAGAATTTAGATTCAAGAGTCACTGTGTGTCTCATAGAGCTACATTTTGAACAACAAATCTAAAAACAGTGAGTGTAACTTTGTCCTGGGTGTAGTGTGAGATCTCACCGTGTCCTGACTGCTTTCTGGACTCACTGCAGGGTTTAAGCTCCGTCCCTGAAAACAACAAACAAACAGAGTCTACTTCCATGTGGTCAAACACTGGCTCTGTGAAGGCTGTTTATATTTGGATGACTCTGTCAGAGAGCAGCTGATTCAGCTCTGTCATAACTGTAGAAACATTTGATTACTCAGCCGTAAAACTCACAGTGTTTTCATCCATCTGGGTTTTTTTTCCTGAAGAGACAAAAGAGAGTCGACTTTAGCTTCAACAATAAAAATCCAGGTCCATCAAAACTTCTTGTTTACAATATCTGTGGTTGCTCTCACCTTTAGTTTTCTTCCATATGATGAGTCCAACAACAATAACAACAGTTATTAAGAGAGCTGCAACTCCCACAAACACAATGATGAGCCACAAAGCTGGAAAGAAAAAAAAATTGACAGAACAGATTTAGTTTAGATGGTAACATAGGTCCATGCGCATAGGATGTTTTTTTATTAATTCTTGAAGTGTCTATTTTAAGATTCTGCCAGTTAACAGGCTGATATAATGTACTATGGGGTTTATTTTTAACCCTTTATTATACTTATTGTCAACCTGAATCCGAAATAAACAGAAAACAGCGTAACTTTTGAAGCAAACAGCATACAGAGACCAATGAGTACATTTTTTCCACACAAATCTGACCCAAGGAATTCAGTTAAATGGTTACTGTTAGGATTCAGACACATCTTGACTCTATTTCAGGACAATACAACAGTGCGAAAATAGCTAAATATTTTCTTTTAATTAACCTCAGAGGGGACAACTTTTGTAAAAACTTTCCCTGTGGTAATTTTACTGCCTTCAGTGACATTAAGGTGGAGCAAAGGGAGAGGGGATCATATCCACACAGTATTTGCGATAAGAGACTCTGAAGCAGCAACTTCACCCACAAATACCCTTCATACTGTAGACATTGGAGGTCTTGGTATGGATAAAACTGGGTTCATGAAAATTGTTATAAAAGATTAATAGGTAACTTGGATTAGAGATTTAATTCCTTCACCAACGCTTAGCAACAACAAATATGTAACGTCCTGTTGTGTACCAACAGTGTGGATTTGTGCATTTTATATCAAATAATTTGGAGACTCAAAAATCCCTTCCCTCTCTCTCTCTGAGAAAAAGGAGGGGGTAGGAAAGTTTTCTTGGCCTTTTGACATGCAAAAACTAGAGACATCGCCTGGTGTTTGGTAAGAGTCTGCAGAGACTCAATCAGACATGCCTCTCTGTCTCTCTTTCCTCTCTGCTTCTTCTACTTGTAAATCTACGAGTTGCTTCTTAAAGAAAAAAGTTGTAGCTGTTTCCTCTAATTAGTCATTTGTCACTTCCTCATTGTGACTGACCTTTCTTTTTTCTCTCATATGTCAGTTGTTGCTTTAATCAGCTGATCAGCTGAGGCTCCAGCAGAAGAAGAGGAAGCTTTCACGCTGCTGTAGGTCACTGCATCATCTTCATCATCACCATCTTTACCCAGAACCTGGAAAAGAGACAAACAGCACAACACAGAAATTACACAACATTAAATGAGAGAAGTGTTTTCATTCACTGCCATCATCACTAGAACCAATCAGACAGCTTACCCGGCCTTTACTGTTGGTCTTCCTGGTGTAGCTGAAGGAGGCGTAGGAAACACCATCTTCAGGATCAGCCTACACAGAGAAGACAACATAATGGCTGCTCAGTAACATGTGGACTTGATTGTGTTCTGGTCTGTTCTGGTGTCGTCCAGCTGCATCATCAGACTCCCCACTTCTTCTCTTGCAGAAACAACTTAGATTCAAGAGTCACTGTGTGTCTCATAGAGCTACATTTTGAACAACAAATCTAAAAACAGTGAGTGTAACTTTGTCCTGGGTGTAGTGTGAGATCTCACCGTGTCCTGACTGCTTTCTGGACTCACTGCAGGGTTTAAGCTCCGTCCCTGAAAACAACAAACAAACAGAGTCTACTTCCATGTGGTCAAACACTGGCTCTGTGAAGGCTGTTTAGATTTGGATGACTCTGTCAGAGAGCAGCTGATTCAGCTCTGTCATAACTGTAGAAACATTTGATTACTCAGCCGTAAAACTCACAGTGTTTTCATCCATCTGGGTTTTTTTTCCTGAAGAGACAAAAGAGAGTCGACTTTAGCTTCAACAATAAAAATCCAGGTTCATCAAAACTTCTTGTTTATAATATCTGTGGTTGCTCTCACCTTTAGTTTTCTTCCATCTGATGAATCCAACAACAATAACAACAGTTATTAAGAGAGCTGCAACTGCAACATACCACCACCAAACTCGATAGACTATAAAAGAGGACAACATCTTATTTTGTTATTTTGTGTTGTGTGAAGACGTCTGACTGAATAAGAAAATATCTCCTCCCACAGCTGAGTGTCGCTCTGACATTCAGACTTCAGAAGAGGAGAGATACAATTAAAAATCAGTAAATCAATAATAATTTTCTCGATCACTTCCTATTTTCTGTTGTATACAATGAATGGTCAGTTTTGTCTTTCTAGAAAGTGACTTAATTAAAGAGGCTTTCATTATTTTATGTTTTGCCATAAAAATGCCTAAAAGTAGAAACATGCAAAAAAAATTAGACAATGAATAAAATAAAAGTAAAATGAGGTTTATTATGGAGAGAGAAAGAGGCTGACACTAGAGAAAGATGAGTTACTACCTTGAAGGTTTGTTGAAGTATCATTGGTTGTTGTTGTGGCTGTAACTGATTTTGTGTTTTCAGTTGTTGTTGTTTGTGCGTCACCTGTATGAATTAATAACACAACCCACAAAACTGTTCAGTTAGAAAATCCCTCATGTTTACCATCTGCTGTCACTAAATGAGAAAGAATGATGTCATCTTAAAAAGTCATCAAATAAACAAATGTTTTGGTGGTTTTAGTCATCTTGAACAGCTCAGCATATTCTCACCTGTTTTCTCACCTGAGGACTGAGGGCTGAAGGTGAACAGCTGCACTTTTCCAGAGTAACCATCTGTCACTTCACACTTCAAGTTAGACTTTGATTTGTTACTAAAATGAGAATCCAGGAAAGACACAGCGGCCGAGCAGTCAGCCTGCCATGTCTTCATTTCTTTGTTATCTTTGTCCACATCTTTACCCTCATACAGCCACTTCACTGTGTGTTCACAGAACTGTTCACGCGTCGACACAGAGCACCACAATGTCACCTCATCAGCGTCCTTACGTTCAGTCACTGGTGAAGATGGAGATATTTTGAGAAAAAGACAACAAGAGTAAAGTTAACTTCATCACTGTGATCATAATTATTGTAATGTTTCAGTATATTGTTCTAACAAGACAGTTTGAGCTGAAAACATTATGATGGAAATACTCACTGTTAATAACAGACAGATAAACATGACAGTCTGGAGCTTGTTTTAACGACCAACATCCTCGACTGTGACCTTTATAACCAGAGAACAGTTCTCTGTAACACTCAGTCTGTCTGATTTAGTTTTGGACTTTACACCAATCTGCCCAAGTTTAATCAGGGCTACTGCTGAACCCCTGAAGACCCATGTAGTATATTCACATTTTCGCTGACCGTCTATCACATTTTCACAAGGCAAAGTGACGTCATCTCCAACTCTGACAGTGAAGGAGAGGGGAAGTTTTTCAGCTGCTGCTGTTGAGAAAATGATGAAAAATAAAGTGAAATGAGAAAATGTCTGTTATGTTCATAGTTAGTGACGATTATTTCTTTATCCTTAGTTTCCAAGAGTTCACTAAACTCACTGGTCCGTTTATCATCCGATCATTCAATTATTCCATTTAATCTGGCAAACCAAAAACAAAAAAACTAATAAATATTTCGTGTTTCTGTTTTTCTATATAAATCAAATATGAAAACTGGCATTTGTTTCCTTGCTTTCAGCTCAAAATGAGAAATATAATAAACAAGGAAACCAAAACAAAATAATAGGTCGAATTTACGTTTTCTGTATTTTTCTTTATGTGTTTTCCCATTTCTCACTGTGCCGTCCATTCTGATTTGTGCATGTGCAGTGGATGATCTCCAGCCGTGGAACGAGCCTACGAAGCAGTGTCCCTCAGTGGCAAGACTGTATGACTGCATGCTGGAGCCTCTAGTCTCTTGCCCTGGTGCCATCCACAAGCTTCTACGTTGCAAAATAAAAGCTTGTGTCTGGTTTGTGTTTTTGAACTGAATTATAATGGCAATCTGCAAATTAATAAAATACTTAATAAAATATCTGTCAATAAGATAAATTCAGAATATCGTGTTAATCATTAAAAAAAACTTCTATAAGATGATGGTAGACAGACTAAAGATCCATTCTGAGATCATTATTATTTTATTCCAGAAATCTGGTTGAAAGATTGTTTTAAACTTTTAAGTGTTATTATCCACTGTTACAGTTACAGTATTAGCGTGTATGTCCATGCTATAGACATACAGGCGAGCATACTGATTGAGATTCAGTCAGATTGTGTGAAGGCCTGTGGGTGTGCTGGTGATTATCTATATGTCACATGTATAGCTTAATCCTTTTGTTTTTGACATTATACAATGTTCATCCATCCATCCATCCATTGTCAACTGCTTATCCTGTGTACAGGGTCACAGGGGGCTGGAGACAATCCCAGCTGACGTCGGGCAAAAGGCAGGGTACACCCTGGACAGGTAATATAACTAATTACTTTCAAATGACAATAACTAGTAATCTATAATGTATTACATTTTTGGAAGTAACTTGCCCAAAACTGATCCTGTGTATGTGCCATCCCAGTGACACACACACACACACACACACACACACACACACACAGTAGAATAAGCAATTGTATTTACAGTGATTTCCCTATTAATTGTGGAAAAATTATAGGATCTAGAAAAAGTCTTGGAAAGAGTATAATATTATTATTTATTCTTCATTATCCTCTCCTCCTGCACTTAATTATCAGAAATTGCTGCAGAATCCAGGGTATTTTCTTTTCCAGCTTAAAGCAAATACAGAACAAAACCATACTCTTGATCTGCTCTGATACAGTGTTTAGATTTTTTTGTTTCAGACACAGTCTTTTTTGTTAGCAACAAGTGACTTACTCAGCACAGTAGGCTATACAGTAGGCCTATACCCGGCATGTCATTTTTTAAAAGACAAAAGGTATATTCCTTAGGTCAAACTCTGCTACCTTAAATTTCTAGAGGTAACGTTGATATTTGCTAACAAACGTCATATTTAAATATATGTTAACATCAGGGACACATCCAGCAATCTGGGACAATTAAGGTAGTTTAACACTACTTTGAAGAAATATTCAATGATAAAATGTATAAGTGGGGGGTCTGGGTGTCCTCCCCAGAAGATTTTGAGCATTAATTAATTTCCTGCATTCTGGAGAAAGTTTCTGCACCAATTTATGGAGTAAATGTCTTTACTTACAACAATAAAAGGGAATATAATGCAGTAATCAGTAGATTTTTTTGTTGCTTAAGTAACTTTCTTGGACAATGCACATTTATTTCTTCTATATTTAAATTGCATTGCATGTTTTCTTATTGTGCAAATAAACCTTTCTCAAAGCTTTTTCATTTGTAGTGTAACATTTCTTATTCCAAACTATTTTTCAGGACATATTTAACCAATTATGCTTTCAAAAAGTGATGGGGGCATGTCCCCAGCCAACCTAGTGTAAATGACACCAATGGTAACAGATTTGTAAAATTTCATGAATGTGACTGGCAGAATATGCTCAAGAGTTTTTTAAGAGCACACGTTTATAACAATTCACATACGCAGTTAAAACAATGGCTGTCCATCTGAGTATGTTGTAGAGTCTGTCTGCTCTCTGTCTGTTTTTCTGCTGTTTCTGTTTTTATCTGCAGTTTATTACAACCCGAACATTTTTGTGTGACTGTTTTCTTGATCATTTCTCTCGGTGTTTCTCTGCAAAATGCTTAAATGGGTCACCAAATATAGTTGGGTGGCCGTTAATGTACCTCAATGGCCGCCCAAGTTAGCCGATGTGTGAGAAACACTGATATTAATATCAATCTGACCGGCCCACACCAAAACAAATAGTCCCTCTGGCACATGTCAGTATTGCCAGGTGGCCAACCCGCCCCTGTATGGCCAAAATCGTTGATTTAAAAGTTTAAGTTTTTTAATTGATTGCAACAGACTTGCTTATGAACTTACCCGTGACTCCGACTCTTTCTCCTGCTGCTGCTGCTTCTTCTTTGATTAATGGCGGGTTGCAAACAACTTACAGGAGTGTGTAACACACATATAATTTGCGACCCTTGATAGGCTACTACATTTAAAACGATATTTCTACCAGATTGCTTTAATACAATATAATAACAATGATAGAATGGATCTTAAGTCTGTACTGTGTAGGCCTATCTTATAGACGAAGTATTTTTATTCATTAGCATGATTGCCTGAACCAGACGCAACTATCTGTGACATTTGCAGAATAATATTTGGAAATATATTAGGTATGAGAATATAATTGCAATCTAATAAGAATGAAGTCATAATATTTTAACAAAATCCACCTGCCCTTCTGCTGTGCATTAACCGGTGTTCTGCTGATATGGTAGCCTAGTGGTTATCCCCTATTATCTGACAGACACAGAGTCGCCTGGGAAAACTGAAACACATAAATCTCACAAGCCTACACATCTATATAAATGTTAACTATAGCACCTCTGATAAAGTGCAGCTCACAGTCGCTTCAGAAGGAAGCATCCTGGAACAGAGAGACTGTCCCAAACAGAGCAAAGTGTCTCTGAGCGGTGAGAATGACAGAGACACAGAGCGACAGGTGTCTGTGTCTCGGTCAGGTGTGTCATGTTATTCTCTCACTACTTTGCGGCGGACTAAACCTGTTAAAAACAGGCCCCTTTTTCCAGAAAAAACGCCTTAAATTTCATAC